CCACAAAGCCTAGGTCCATTTGTAGGCCTCTTCATAGTATAGTCGGTCTATGGCGATGCGGAGGATTGCAGTCGGTACCCTTCTTGGGCCCACCTTCGTCGGCAAAGTCTATGACCTCACTGGCCACTATGACGGCGCCTTCTTCGCGGCGGGCGGCATCGTGCTCCTGGCAGTCCCGGTGTTTTGCCTTGCGGCGTTTTGTCGGCGATCCATCGAAAAGCCTTCGCCCTCGAGAGCAGCAGGTCGCTCTTGCTCCGAGGCCATGAAAGATTCCGAGAAGGATCATCGGGAACAGGTCCTCCCGGCGTGTGATGCCTCGGAGGAATCCCCTCACGGAAAGTGCAAGCTTTAATTCGACTCTCGGCTCAAGAAGACGTGAGCCTTGAGCCTCCTTACTACGCACCCTCTCCGGTGCTTCTTTTGCATTTTGCGAGGCATCAGAGTCAGGACTCTCTGTCCCCAGACTGTGCATTTCGGGTTCTTAGTGAGTCCAACAAGGGCACCTGGTTTTGATGATCTCTGTATCGGCCTGCACGCGAATCCCAACCGGATCCTGCGGGTCCTGCTTGAAGGTGGAAGCCGTCCAAAAAGCAAAGGACTCAGCATCAGCATCATCCCCTGTGGACTCTAAATCATTCGATTGTCCCAGTGTGAGCGCCGAAACCGACTGCCTTAGAACGGCCTGTGAAGGCTGCCTACAGCATTAAATATTTCCTCAGCCCATTCAAAGTCTGCTATACCGGGCGCACCATCAGAAGCCTCAAGCACGATCAGAAAGCTACTGTGATCCCCGCCGTTTCCTCTACTGACCTGTGCGGCTGCAGTTGCACTACTACTACTACTACTACTACTACTACTACTACTATACCGGGGGCACCATCAGAAGCCTCAAGCACGATCAGAAAGCTACTGTGATCCCCGCCGTTTCCTCTACTGACCTGTGCGGCTGCAGTTGCACTACTACTACTACTACTACTACTACTACTACTACTACTGCTACAACTATTGCCAGTGTTGCGACTGCTGCTACTGCTACTACTGCTACTACGAGAACTTGTCACCATGGCAACAACACTGTTAGTATCAACACGGCGATTTAAGATTTATTGATTCGCTTTGTTCTGCACATAGAGGGCGCCCTGGAGGAGTTCGGTTTGAGTATGCAGCTTGAAGTTTCAAATCCCCGGTTTAGGCACCTCGACTTAGGGTAAACCTTCGAGAGCTTCGCTGGGACCCTGGGAGTCACAAGGCGACGTGTCACAGTGCGGAAGAATCGAAATCATCGTTTGCTGGGGTTAGGGGAGGTTATGCACGCATACCGCCACACACCCAGAAGTACATCCGGCAAACAGTTGCAAAACCTGTGGGTGGAGGGTTTACTGAGCATGCGAATCGCAGGTAATTAGGAGCTTCGGAATCCTGCGGTCACCAATTGATTGCGCTTTCAAAAATTAAAAGCTGCTTTAGGTCCCATAGCCTTTTCACCTTCAGCTGTGCTCCCCGACTGAGGTGCACCCGGACCACTGGGCGGATGGCGATGCTTCCGAAGACGGGAAGGACGAGCAGGTGCAGATTCACGTTCTGGGCTTCCCACGAACTTTGACATACTGTTGCAAGATCCTCCCCGGTTGAGTCGCAAGCACCCCAAACTAAAGCCGAACCCTATGCTTTCACCACCTCGACGTGCTAGTCTTCACATAAAGCCCCAAACTCTGCACCTGACCCTGGCCACGCAGCGGAAGGTGTGCGCGGCGTTCGAGGCGAGCCAGTTCGGAATGAAGCAGGGGCACCCAGGAGACGACCACCTGAGGGACCTCGTAGCTCGTAGCCCACACGCTTTGAAGGCTTCGACCTCCGATGATGCGACAAAATCCTCATGTTAGCGAAATGGGCCGAGTCCCGTCCTTGACTTGCAAAGCTTTGCCATTGTGACCCATACGACCGCCGTTGTTACCAGAAAGCCCATCATGTTCCTGTATGTTAAAGGCTCTGGGCTTAGGCTTAGTCTTTGGGCTGTAGGGCTGTAGGGTGTTGGGTGTGTGATTCCACAAGTTTGCCGTGCTTCTACAAAAACTCTGCCCAGCATGCAGCCAATTCACATCCCGTAGTTCAGAATTGTTCAGTAAGTTGCATGTGTATATATATATATATATGTATGTATGTATGTATGCAAACATATATATATATATCACCTGTATATGTATACGGATGTCAAGACATGTGACCTGTTCCCTTCCCCTCCATGGCGCTTAAAGCAAAGCACATACAAACCAGCCAGGAAGACCATGTCCTGGTTTTGCCAAGAACTCAAGCCCTGAAGCCCTTTGAACCCTCAACAGCTCCCTAGGCTCCAGCTATTTCAATCTTGGAGTATTTCAGATTTAGCTTTGAGAGGAGCTGTAAGATGCGAGCGCAAGAAATCGGAAGAAACGTCAGGGTTGCAACCTAAGCCTTGGACTTGACGACGCCTTTTGCTACCATGCGCATTAGCATCGGCGGCATGTTTGATGACAACTTGCTGCTGCATGCCACGAAGTCACAACTCCTGTTGCTGGTTCGCTATGTTCTTACTGTTATAAACATTAATGCTAATGGATTTGGGATTATCGTCTGTTCCGCTTTCTCATGTCCCGCCCCATTCACGCAGGTGGGACGGTGCGAAGGATACCCAGAATTAATAGCAAAGCAGATACAGCAGCTGTTAGGTGCACCTCCACAGAACATGTCTTCAGATTCCCTGAGCCTTAAACCCTAAAGCATAGCTACTACGCATTTGTCGAGGCTGCTGGTATTCCAGACCTACTACATTCTGAGATCCCGTGAACTCGGGCTGGACCAGATTGGGGTTGTCTCAGGATTCATCCTGCCTTTTCGTGCTGCCTTCTCATCAGGTTATCTTAGAAGATCTTGGTACTTTCTATCCGTTTATTTCGTCGTTCAGCGGCATCATATCTTCCTGTATCGTGAAGTCATGCCTGTGTTGCTGGTGTGGGCACGTGCATCCCAGATGCCAGGCTTCTGCTGAAATTTTGAGAATCGTTGTCCGATTCTGGGGTGGCAGCATATCGAAAAGCTACGGATTACGGCATTGCGAAACTGTTTCTGCATTCGTTCTAGGCTTTGTACTATTCCCACTCGGGCGTATCTAATTAGGGGTCCTAAATGTTGTCAAGATCGCTTGGTTTGCAAAGGTTCGCATGGTAACCTAGACGACCCCGAACCTAGAATCCCAGACCTTTGAAAAGATTACGAAAACCTCCTTGATCAGAACCGCCGAAGTGTGTGCACGCCAGGAACCAGCTGGGTATGTGTGTGTATATATATATATATACATAGAAAGATAGGATAGTATACTATGTTGTGCTATACTGTACTATACTATGCTATACTGTAGACGATACCATTAGAGAGACTTGGGGCTTCCAGCACTGGCTCGCGGACTCCGTGCCTGCAAACCCTGTGAACCCTAAGCCCTAAACCCTCAAGAACGAAATCAACAGAAATTGTGCGTTTTTGCTCATCCTGAACTTCCTGAACTGGCCATTACGGCCACCACCCCCAAGCCTACAAAGGAGCCCACCAGCCACCATGCGACACAGCCCCAGCCCCAGCGCAGCGAGGTTACTGAGCGCAGCAGCCCCGCGCCCAGCCCAGCCCGGCCCCAAGCCCCAAAATCGAACTGAGGTTCCAAAAGAACAACATTTTGGTCAAAGCGTTTTTGTCAAAACTCCGGCACCCAAACCCCCAACAGTTTCTGTAACAGTTTCTGTAAACACCAGGACTCTATGGAAGCGCTGAATGCATGCCGCGGCCGCCCGGCGGGGGAGCCTACACTCTAAGGTCCTCGGGTTGAAGCTAGGGTTTGGGGTTTAAGGCTAGGTTGAGGGTTTCGGGAAAAAGGGGGGTTTAGGCTATTTGGAGGTTTGCGGCGTCGTGCTCAGGGCTTGCAGTTTTCGAAGTTCGACCCTGGGTCTTCAACTGCTTTGTTTATGCTTGCACAGTTGCTTTGGGAGTGCCTAGTCGGATGCATCTGACGACCATTGGCTGCATATGCATATATACATATATGGCGTGCACTCATTTGTTCAGATGCAGATATAGATATCAATAGATAGATGTACCTCTCTCTCTGTACATATATAAGCACAGATAAACACACACACACATACACACATATATATATATATATATATTTATATACATATATATATATATATGATCACATATGCATACATGCATATGACTGCGTATGCATACATACATACATACATACATACATACATACATATACGCATGCACACATGCACACATGCATGCACACATACACGCATGCATTCAGTCAGTCGTACTGTCAGTCTGTCAGTCAGTCAGGCCTGGGTTCGCTGGTATGTTCATACTCACTTTCGCACTACTCACTTATATCCGCACATTACCTTCCATCCATCTATCCTCCCTCCATGCATCCATTTATCCATGCATGCATGCATGCAGATACCACTACATACAGGCATGCAAGGCATGCATGCATGCACACATAATGTACACAAAAACAAAGAAACTATACATACATAATGCGCATACATATGCGGACATGCATGCATGCATGCATGCATGCATGCATGCGTACATGCGTACATATGTACATACATAATTTACAGATGCACATACTTACATACGTACATATGTGCATGAATACACAGTATCATGTACAACATAGCATGGGGAAAGCAGGGCAAGCAAGCATTCGCAAGCCAGAGCCAGTGAGTGAGTGAATGAATGAATGCGGTGAGTGAGTGAGTGAGTGAGTGAGTGAGTGAGTGAGCGAGTGAGTGAGTGAGTGAGCCAGGGAGTCAGTGAGTCAGGGAGTCAGTGACTGAGCGCCCGAGTAGCTGACGGAGCGTGTGTGTGTGTGTGTGGGGGTTGCAGCTTTATCACGAGCTGCCCATGCTCAAGGCCTCCAGCAGACCCCAGACCAGCGACCCTAAAGCCACACAGGGGAATCTACTTGGCCTCGGCGTGGCAAGCTAGTTTGCGGTCATCGTCGTCTGCCGTTTATATTCCCATTCCCAGTGCCCGCAGGGTTTAGGACTAGCTGACTAGCATCAGTACTGCAGAAGTCGTTGCCTTTTGTATTTGGCCTGGTCTGGGTGCGGCGTTTGTGCTAAGATTTTGGATCTGGATTACTAGGTATCATTTCCTCCTGGCAGGAACGGTCACTACAAATGATAACACCTGGCTGTGCTTTTTCTGTGCGTTTCCTGCGATAGTTGCCACTGCTACGCCTGCAGGCCTCGGCATCGACCACTCCGCTTCACCCAACTGCCCGTTACAAGACAGTATTACTAGTAATGGTGTGAACAGTATAATAAGAAGACTATAAGAACAATCGTAATGAGATCAATTATGCGAGTAATCCTGGTAACCCTAAACCCTAAACCGTTAGTAACAACCCGAAATAGTGGTGACAATAGTGCTTAAGGCCACCCATGCCTTGGCAGAGTTCCAGACCGATTGCCGGGCCATTAAGGACCGACACAAGCTTGTGTGGGGCTTTGCGGCTGAATAGGGTTTAGGGTATAGGGGTTTAGGGATTAGGGTTTTTAGGGTTTAGGGTATAATCAGGCTCATGCTGCTGGTCTTGGCCACGAAAATGTCAGTGTCCAAGCCTTTCTGATGCATTCTGGTCGGCCGGCATCAAGAGCATAAGAAGGGATTGCCATCAGGTTCTGCTTTGATTGGTGCGCCTTGGGCCTGAATAGATTCCGAAGTTTGGTGCTTTGGAAACGGGGCGCAGCTCGGCCACCATGATAGCCAGCACCTGATGGCAGGAGCTTGGTTCCTATCAGGAGTTCTTTGCTTCTCGGCAGCATGACGGCTGTGGCTGATGCTCTCGTGCCCGCTTGGGAGGGTGTTTCGGTCGAAGACTATGTCCGGTAGGCCATGTGCACTGCAAGCAGCAAAACCAGCAGCCAGCACCATTGTTCTGCCATTCTTGACCACAGAAGGATTGTACTTCATTGCCATATTGGTGCGAGGTCCCGAAACCCGAAACCCTCAACCCTAAACCCTTCAGCCCACTGAACTATGGTTGCTGGCAGGTCTGGCTTCAAATGGAGAGCTACCTCGACAGGCGGCCCAGAAGGGCTTTAGGGTTTAGGGTTGAGGGTTCGAAGGCTTTGCAGCCATTGCTTCTGGGGCAAACCTGCAGATAGCGAGGCCCTAAACCTCTAAAAAGCCCAAAACCCTACAACCTATAGGGTTTAGGGTTTAGGGTTAAACCTTAAACAAAAAACCCTGAACCCTACAACCTATATAAACCCTAACCCGTGGTTCCTGCTTGGGCTAATGACTGGGGACGACCGTCTCCTTCCGGGTCGAGCGTCCGTCGACCTGGGCCTGCAACCTAGTGGATGATGATTAGGGTTTGGAGGGGTTCAGGGCTTAGGGTTTAGGGGTTTCGGGGTTTCGGATTTCGGGGTTTAGGGTGGTTACGGGTACACTGCCCGAATGATGAACTCGAAATACAGAGAAGCGAGAACCTAATCGCAGTTTCAACATATTTTGTTTCGTGCGCCCTGCGTCTGCTCCAGGGACCTTCACACCATGCTCTGTGAAGCCGTCGATGAATCTGAAGATCGAGGCCAGGCACGGCAAGATAAATTGTTTAGGGTTTAGGGTCTAGGGTTCCGAAATTATCGTTCCGATGCTCATTGCCCTTGCAGTGACGAAGAAGAACCAAACGCGTTGAAGAAGCCCTTCAGACCTGAAAGCCTGAGACCCTTAAACCGGTGCCACCCCAGGCTACAATCACGGCGTGCCCAAACCTGGAGGTTACAGTGCTGGATAAGAGAAGATAAGCAAGGCTTGCTATTGATTTATCGGAATTTAAATATATATCAATTATAATGATTCTTTATAGAATATGAATAGAAATTATAGGTTTCATAATTATATTTCGAGGACCTCCCCCCGATTTAATTTATATATAATTATATGAGACTCTTCGATTCCTTAATATGAAGTCTCTAGATAGAAAGAGAATCTGTCGGACCTCTCTCTTGGGCAATAAGATTGGATAATTTTTTCTTCTACCTCTGCAATTATTCATATATATAATCTTAATAAAAAAATAATAAAATTATATAAACTTTATTTCTTGATATAGATATATATAAGTAAATATATTTATATAATTATATATAAAGCTCTTAATATTGAGAAATTAATATATATATATATGGTCTATTTTCGTATAGATCTTCATCTTTTCATATATATATATTTATGGCTTCGTGATTCTCTGTTAATATGAGTGATATAGATAAGGAAGGAGAATTTCTCGTCCCACGGCATACGATTGAGATTCTTTATTTTCGATTTCTAGAACTATATATTATCTTATTAAAGATAGATTTATATTTTTTGTTTCCGCTTTGTATGACCACTTTTCTTATACTTTATTTGTGCGGGATGAGACGGTTCTCTTTATATATATATATATATTAAAATTATTTAGAATCTTTATAGATTATATTTGTGCTCTTCTCTATTTTAATTCTTCTGCTTATCGTTTTGGTTGGATAAGTAGGTTCTGTGTTTCGATATCTATATATTCTAGGGGACTTCTCACTCCCCCTATTATCTAGACCCATATGGTTGAGACCCATATTATTGGGGAGGGGGTGCACATAGAATACGCAGCCTATAATTATATATATATATAATTTTAAGCTTTCTTGATCTAGATAATCGATAAATTCATTATAATTAAATTATTCATAGAAGCTAATTTCGAAATAAATTTTTAATTTTATGATTTATATATCTCATTTTGAAATTTCATGAGATATATATATATATATGATCTTTACCGAATTATATTTCTATTTATTGATTCAAGATTGAAATTTGGCCAAGAAGGATAGAAGATAAGAAAAATTATAGATAAAGAAAAAATGAGATAATATAAATAAATAAATATTAATATTAATATTTTTCATATTCTTATTTTATATTATATTGATTATTTCTATCTAATTATTATAGTTTCTGATTCTAATTGAGATTTTATAGAAATAAAAAATATATAAATAGAATCTAATCTGGGAGGCTTCTTTTATTTCGACAATATTTTTTATATTTCTTGAATAGAAAATAAATTTCTCTCGAAGATAATTCTAGGAATTCGAAATGAAAATATAGATTGGAGATGATATGGGGTAAATAAGATATAATTTATCGGAAATTTTTCTATATTTTTAAAAAAGGAAAAATTTCAAAAATATTTAGTTATTTAATTCTTTAAAATAAAGATATTCTTTATTTTCATATAATTTTGAGAAGGCATTCTTAATATTCTTTCTTTTAGTCATATATGAAAGAATTTATAAAATTGATTTAAAGAAAATATAGATAGGCAAGATAATAAAGAGATTCATCTATTCAATTATCTTCCGTTCTTTAATTTTAGATTATTTGTACTATGATCTCGATAATAAGATTTAGGAGTTTTTCCTTTAGGTCTAATCTCAAACTCAATCATAGATATAAATCAAATTTAGTCTCGAATCTAGGCCCAGATTCAGAAATATAATTCTCTATTTAATTCTGCCTTGCCCTATCCTATCCAGGGTCAGGGAGACCAAGCCCTAGGCCCATTCCCAGATCCAAGGTCCAGGCCCAGGGACCAATAGTCAAGCTCTTTTCAGGGACTCAGGTCCAAAATCCAGGGCCCAAGGCCCAGGCCAGGCCCTGTCCGGGAGACCCTGTCTTAAGCCCGACCAATTTAAGCCTCTCCAGCCCAGGTCCATGGGCTAAATCCTAGGCCCAGGCCCTCCCCCGAATTCTAAATGCAGATCTTTCCCATCTTTCCCTCTTCAGCCCCAAGCCGAAGCCGAGACCCAGGCTCCAGGCCATAATTCTAGGGTCAAAGGCCAAGGCCTGCCCAGGGCTCAGGCCCAAGGCCCAGGTCCCAAGATATAAGGCCTATAACCTATCTTCATATTGGCTTCTATCTCCAAATATTTCCTCCCACTACTTCTTACCGACTTCCGAGAACGATCTCCTGCCTGCCTCGTCCTCCACCCATCTCCTGCCTATCCTCCTTCATCCTACCTACCTCCTACCTCTTCTTATTTCCGACCCCCACTCCCCCTTCTTTCCTCTACCCTCTGACCTATATCCTACTCCTACCGACTACCCTACCTACTCCTACCTACCTCCAACCAACCTCCTTCCTACCTTCACAGACTACCTCCTGCCTACCTCGCAACCACCTCATACCTACCTGCGACCTACCTCCTACCACCCACCACCTACCTTTTATCGACCTCCTACCCTCCCCTACTTACCTGCCTCCCCCTACCTACCTGCCAACCCACCCACTCCACCGACCTCCCTTCCTACTCCTGCCTGCCTCCTACCTACCTCCTATTCCAGCTACAACCTCGACCTCCCACCTCTCGTTCCTACCTCCGACCCGCCTCCTTCCTCCCTCCGACACCCTACCTACCTCCTACCTCCTCCTACCGTCCCAAAACTCTTTATCCGACCTGCTACTTACCTTTTTGGATCGGTGGTGGAGATCCCTCGCACCAACCCACCTTCTTCCTACCGGGGCTGAGGTAGGTAGGAGGTGGGATTGGTGGGAGGGGTGGAAATAACAGTCAAGCATATTTCGTCCCAGAACTCAGTGTTGAGGCTGGGAGAGGGAGCAGAGGTTGGGGAGACGACAAAAACAGGAGCAGGCAGGTGGGTGGCTGGCGGGGGGCAGGCAGGAAGAAGGTAGGAGGCAAAAGAATGTCGGGTCATGGTGCCAGGCAGGGGAGAGGACAGGAACCTCTGAGAAATCGACGATCTACTTGCTTCAGGCTCGGGCCATAGAATTATAGCATTGCAGCCGAATCACAGCCGAACCAGCCCCATTACAGCCACATTACACCCGAAACAAAGCCGAACCACAGCCACACCACTACCGTATCACAACCGAATCACAGCCACATGACAGGCCACCTGCCGCAAAAGGTGAACTATATTTCAGCAGCGAGACGAGCATTCGATGATTTCGGCGGATCATAGCCGAACTCCTCATAGTCTCATCATACTCGAATCACAATCACTTGATCGCCTCATCACAGTTATAGGATCCTCTGAGAAATCGCCGATCCACTTGATTCAAGCGGGCCGCAGAATCCCAGCACTGCAGCCGAATCATAGCCGAATCACAGCCACATCGCAGCCGCATTGCACCCGAAACAAAGCTGAGCCACAGCCACATCACTGACATATCCAATCCGAATCACAACCATATGACAGGCACACGAGAGCCGAATCCCCTTATTTTGAATTCTGAGAATTTGCCGATCTACGTGCTTCAAGCTCTGATATAACTCCGATCCATTTGCTTCAGAAATACAGCCGAATCCCAGCCAAATCATTATTATATCAGAACCGGATCACAGTCTCTGAGAAATCGCCGATCTGCATTTTCAAGCTCGGACGACAGCCGAATCACAGCCACATCAATGCCGAATCAGAGCCTTTGAGAGTTCGCCAATGCGCTTATTTCATGCTCTGAGAAATCACCGATCTATTTGTTTCAAGCTCTGAGAAATCGCGAATGCACTTGTATGAAACTCTGAGAAATCGCCGATCTGCTTGCGTGCATCTCTGAGATATAGGCGATAGAAATTATTTCTCAAACAATTTCTTCAAAAATAGAAGCATTCACTGAAACTAAGGCGTCTAGGAGTTTGGAATCTGCTAGAAAAGATAAGCGGCATCAGTAGCGATACTAGTTACTAGCAATCGATAATTTCCCATCATAGTTCTGCACTTCTCAGACGTCCAGGAGCTTATCATCTGCCACAAAAAATGAATTATGATTCAGCAGCGAGACGAGCATTCGATGACTTAGCCGGATCACAGCCGAATCCCACCCAGCCGCATCACACTCGAATCACAGCCGCTTGATCGCCCCATCACAGCTACGGGAATCTCTGAGAAATCGTCGATCCACTTGCTTCAGGCTCGGGCCACAGACTCCCAGCACTGCAGCTGAATCTCAGCTGACTCACAACCACATCACAGCCGCATTACACCCAAAACAAAGCCGAACCACAGCCACATCACTGCCTGGGTCAAAGGCCAAGGTTTGCCCAGGGCTCAGGCCCAAAGCCTATGACCTATCTTCATATTATCTGGAAGAATAAATAGAGAAAGATATTTTGATCAAGTAATAGAAATATAGATATATATTTTTTAAATATTTTCAAAAAATATTTTCAAAAATAATTTCTGAAAAATTTATTTCGTATTTTCAAAATATTTTTTTTATATCTAGAATCGAAATTCTTCAATCTACCTATCTACCTACCGACCTAGCTCCTACCTATCTACTTACCAACCTATCCTAGCTACCTGCCTCCCCTACCTATCTACCTACCTACCTACCTTTCGATTTATCTGCCGAACCTACCTACCTACCTAATATTCATATTCTTCAAAAAATAAATTCTCTAAAATGATTTATAAATTAAAGAATTATCTATATTCATTGAAAATTCATTTAAATATATTTTTTCATATTATAAATATCGGAGAAAATATTCGATTTATATATCAATCACAGATCAATATCTATCGAAGAATATAGTTATTATATTATGAATATTATAAATTATTTCTTCGAAAATATGGAAATATGAAAATTTTTTAAAAAAACAATCATCTCTTAGAAATTATTTCTATTATGAATATCGGTCTAGAATAGAATCGATTAGATCCGTGAATCGTATTTCTTCTCAATATCTGATCTAAATCAGGTTCGGATCTTGCAAGTGATTGTCT